GAAGAACGTTTGACAGGAAAACAATTTGAACGCGGCCCAGGGCTGCAGATGAAAATCACCCACCTTCAGCTTGGTAGCATAACTTTCTTTCCACTAGGTCAACAGTGTTGACTGGAGATTCCCGACTGAAACAAGCCTGGAAGCAGGAGCGGCATCCACTTCCGAAATGGCTTGACTCCGGGAACTCTATGTATGAACAGTGTTCAGGCCGTTTGTTCATAGGGTCGCTATGAGTCGTCTATAACTCGACGGTACCAAACAACAACAACAATAACAAAGAGGAAGGATGTGCACACCTATGTTTATCGCGGCTTTGTTCACAATAACAAAGAGTTGGAAATAACCCTAGTGCCCATCAAAAAACGAATGGATAGAGAAGCTGTGGTATATTCACACAGTGGAATACTATGCAACACTGAAAAACAAGGAACTCATGAAATATTATACAACATGAGTGACCCTGGAGGACATTATGCTGAGTGAAATATCTCAGTCATAAAAAGGGCAAATACAAGGGAGCTCTGGTGGCCCAGTGGCAAGAAGCTGCACGGCAATCCCAGATGTGCCTGGTTTGAATCCACCAGATGCTCTGCTGGAGAAGGAGGGACAGTGTCCTCCTGGACCAGTCAGATCTGATTTGATGGTACAATGCACAAAAAAAATAATGAAATAAAAATTTTAAAAAATACAAACAAAAAACCAAAAGGACAAATGCCGTATAATGCCACTGTTATAAAACAGAACTGACATGGGGGTTGGGGAGAAACTAAGAAAAGATGGAATAAATAATGTACACTGCATTGAAACAGAGGAGGAATAGAACTGCTTAAAAGAAAGATAGGATTAGGTAATATCTGCCTGTCCAGAATAAGAGCTGCTGTGGACTTTCACAAAAAATATTTTTTTAAAAGTGCAGCAGCAAGAGCCTTGCCTGGTTGCCCTTGTAAAGTACAGAACATGTTCAACTCTTCCCGGTGGTCCTTGGAAGGGCTCTAACATTGTTGTGAGGGGCCACTGAGTCAACTACAACTAAAAAAAAAACACACAAAAAACCCAGCTGCATAGCAAAGTGGACTGGGGGGGGGGGTTGTGTGCAGGGGGGAAATTGCACAACAATGAAAGGGGTTTTGGGGTTGTTTTTTTTAAAGAGAAAAGCGAACTGGGGGGTGGTGGGCAGAGAGGAAAATGTGCAACAATGAATGGAAATCCAGGTTCTCTATAAACTTTTGTTCAAATCTCAATTAAAATTTAAAAAAAAAAAACCAAAAACAAAAACACAAAAAAACCCACAAGGATGGCAGTGTGAAAACTAAAGTTTGCGTGTTCCAAACCATGGTGTTTTCAATTGATTCATGCGCACGTGAATGACCAAAACCAAAGTATGGGAAGCCAAATTTCAAACTAAATATTTGTAATAAACAGAATGCTGCTTCCGGTTATGAGGGGGGCGGGTATCAGCTGGAATTGATCCTGAAGCATCAAGGCGTTAAGCGTTTACAGGATTCCTGCATTGTATTTGCTAACACTTCCCTCCTGAATCAAACAGAAGGTTTTCAATAGAAAAAGCTTAGCTTCACCTGCACTGGATTCCCTTTGTGATTTACTCCTTGGCAATTTTCAATAAAAACAGGAAAGCTAGGGGAGCTCTGGTGGCCTAGTGGTAAGGAGCTGCAACTACAATCCCAGAGGCGCACGGTTCGAATCCACCAGATGCTCTGCCAGAGAAGGAGGGACAATCTCCTCCTGTACCAGTCAGATCTGATTTGACGGTACACTCACACAGAAATAATAATAATAATAATAATAATAATAATAATAATAATAAAACCAGGAAAGCTGCATTCGGCGCTTCAGTTTGCTTCAGTTGAGAACTGTTCACCTCCTGCTTTACCTCCGTTTTCTCCTACATTCTTGGTGTTCTGTCCCATTATTAACACTTATAAAAATACTTTACCCTCGGTCTACAACACCAAAGAAGGAGTGATGCCTCTGAATTGTGTTGTTGATGAAGAATGTTGAGCATATATACCATGGATGCCCAGGAGAACAAACACATTCGTATTGCAAGAAATGCAGCCAGAATCCTCCTTGTGTGTGTGTGTGGGGGGGGGGTAGACTTCATCTCGCATACTTCGGACATGCCAACGGGAAAGATCAGTCTGTGGAGAAGGGTCAGTGCAAAAGAGGAAGCCCCTCAAAGAGATGGATTGACACTGTCGTGGCAACAATGAGCTTAAACGGAGAAATAACTGTGAGAGCAAAGGGCAGTGTTTCATTCAGTTTCTCTGGGAGTCAGGCTCATTTGATGGCACCCAATATCATCACATAACAACGTTCTAGACAGAGCACGGGTCAAGAGCTGGGTCCACTGGGCAGAGCAGAACCTCTAGTGAGGGAATGGTTAAAAGTCTTTTTTTCAGGGAACTCTGATGGCCTAGTGGCAGGAAGCTGTACTGCAATCCCAGAGGTACGCGGTTCGAATCCACTAGATGCTCTGCTGGAGAAGGAGGGGCAATCTCCTCCTGTACCAGTCAGATCTGATTTGACGGTACACATACACACAAATAATTAAATTCAGAGTCTTCCTTTCATCTCTCTAGCATCTTATCCCCTTTCCTCTACCTGGAGAGGCCTCCCACCTTCTGAGCGTGAGCACATCACACAAAAGCAGCTTCCTCTCCCAGACTCCCTTGCAGAGAAGCTGTGGGGACACAATCAGTTTCCTTGATGGGTGTCCTTCTGCTGCGGAAGGCTGGGGATGGGAGGGTAGAGGTAGGTGATGGGATAGGAACCAGGCAGAAGGTAGCTGGTGGGGCAGCAGCAGTCACGGGAGAGTTCCAGAAGCTACAGCAACAGGTCTAACAGCAGTGCTATATCCAGAGTCACCAAGGATGTGATGGGCCACGTGGCCAAATAGAAGTTGTGCTGCCAGCTCAAAGGTGGGAAGTTTGAAGACACTGGATGCTCGGCGAGGGAAACAGGGGCAATTTCTTCACATGTGATTTACAGTCTCTGAAAAACCCACTGGAGGGTTAGACTGAAAGGCCAGACTCCATGTTATAATTAAATCCCTCTATGGGAAATTTTTGCCCCAAGGTTTTGTCTTGAACTGCTTCCCCAAACAGTAACTCCTACCATCTATAACCCAGAATGTAGGTGTGTTGCACTCCATGAACCCTTGAAATGTCCCACAGCAAAATGCAGTCCGCGTATCTCTGTGCCTTTGAAGTGTTTCAACAGTAGCCCAGCACCTGGGGCAACAAAAATATAAAAAAACTCCTGACCAACACCAAAAGGAGGTGATCCTGTCTCGCTGCTGGGACCCCCGCTGTGCAGCTAATAAAACACCCTGTAATCCTGCGGTGTATGTACCATGAGTCGCTGGGCATAACAAGATATAAGGGTGGGTTTTGACATGAAAAAACAAACTCGCATTTTCCAGGGGCGAAGCCCAGCACAGCTCCTCGGCACCATCTAGTGTACTGTTTTGTTACTGCAGGCTCAAGCCTGGCTCCCTGCCCTCCTCCAACAAACTCCGGAACTCGAAGTCAAGTCTGTGGGTCTTGCAATGAACATCGGACTCAATGATGGGTAAAAACAGATGCAGGAAAATGCAGGGTTCCATAGCTGACTATGCAGCTATCTGAATGGTGCTATGGACATTATTGATGGGGATAGTTCTGTATGAAGCGGACAGATCAGACTTGGCCACCCACATGCTGCATCTGCTCCTTTCACAGGGCCCTGGTTAATTTAAACATTAGCAACAGGAACCCACCCCAGGCACTATGGGGAAAAGGCTTAGCAACCTAGTTCTCTAAAGACCCAAACTCCACTGCCAGCAAGTCAACTCCAACTCACAGCAACCCTGTAGAGCAGAGTGAGAAAAGCCCATAGGCTCTCCAAGATGGCACATTTTTTAAAAAAAATTTTATTGTATTATTTTTACGTGTACCGTCAAATCAGATCTGACTGGTGCAGGAGGAGATTGCCCCTCCTTCTCCAGCAGAGCATCTGGTGGATTTGAACCACATACCTCTGGGATTGCAATGCAGCGTCTTGCCACTAGGCCACCAGAGCTCCCCAAGATGGCACATCTTTACAGAAGCTAACTGCATTTCTCTCCTGCAGAGGAGCTGGTGGGTTCAAACTGCCAACCTTGTCGGTGATCATTGTCTGAAGACTCCCCACAATTGGCCATGCGGTACAAAAGGGACAGCATGTGCCCAGGGATAAAACTCTCAAGACCGGAATGAGCAGGAAAGGAGGATGAATGGAGAGGGGACAAACACGAGGCAAGTCGGCAGAGCGCTGTCACCTCGTGGACACTGTCATCAAAGTCACAAAAGCAGGTATGAACTGTTGAAAGGAATACTAATTTGCTCTGTAATCTTTGACTCAAATCACAGGAAGGAGGTTAACAAAAAGAAAACCCAGTGGAGTCGTCCTCTGTTAACACCTGGGTTTGCTGTGTGTTAGAACTGACTCGGAGGCAACGGGTTTGGGTTTGGGGGAGTTTATTTTTGGTATCAGTATTATCTTAGGAGCCAGTGGGCGGCGTGGAAATCTGTCACTCCCTTCCAGCCTCGGTCCCCTGTGGAAAGGAGTGGGACTGACATGTGTCTGCATCCCCATGGCACTCGGTGAGGAGAGGTGTTTGCTGACTGACGGCAGAACGCCCTGAAGGTCGAGGCTCCCGGGAAGACTGGAAGAAGGCTCAGAGATGGCAAGGCCAGGCTGGGAGGGGCCACAGGTTTATTGAGGGCTCCATACACACACTCACAGCATCACATGACAATGGCACGGTGACTCGGTACACGCACGAGGTGGCCCCCCACCTGACTGGGGCCCCAAAGGGAGTAGGGGCAGCCTCCTCTTCTGTGTCCCAGACCCAGCTGGGTCCCTTCCTCCTGGGCGGCTGGGGGCGGCAAGGGGAAGTGGGTGGCGAGGCCAGGCAGCTGGGGGGGTCCCGGAGGGGAGGGACTCGCGGGGGGGCCCCCTCACTCCAGCGACTGCAGCATCAACAGCTGTTTCAGCACCTTAGTCTGGCTGGTCTCCCGGATCTCACCGGCCAGGAACATCTCATCCACCACCGTGTAAACCTGTGCGGAGGGACGTGACATGGTGAGGAGACCCCAAAAGGAGGGGGGACCTTGGGAGGGGGCTCTGACACTCAGGGGTCCACAGGGAGACCCAGCCTCCTCCCGCCCTCCTAGCCACACCTCTGCTCAGACCCTCCATCCCCACCGAGAGCCCACCTTGTAGAAGTTGAACACCAGGTCCAGCTCGCAGACATTGTGGAAATACTCATTTAAGACCTGGGAGGAGAAGACGGAGGCAGTTAAGAGATGGACAGAGGGACAGAGAAAGCATGGGTCCAAGGTCACTGGGAAGGGGCGACAACACGGACAGTCGTCACAGTTATGAAGTCAGCTCACGGCCTGTGAACAGAGATCTGAAGCTTGCCTTAGTCTGCACCGCCCAATCTCTGTCATGTTCAAGCCCACAGTTAGAGTCGCTGTGTCAGTTAATCTCATTGCGGGTCTTCCTCCCCCACCCTCGACCTTTCCAGCATGATCTTTCCCTGGACTGACTGGCCCCTGCTGACAATATGTCCAAAGTCACTGAGATCAAGCGCCCCCATCTTTTGCTCCAATGAGCACGCCGAGTGTACTTCCTCCAAGACAGAGACGTGTGTTCTCTTGGCAGTCCATGGTTGTTCAACACTCCTCTGCAACACCACAATTCAAAGACAGAGATTCTTCTCCGGTCTCACTTACTCACTGCCCAACTTTCAGATGCACAGGAAGCAATTGAAAAGACCAAAGGTAGTGACTTCACCTGGATGCTGGCACAGCAGTTCAACGACAGCCCAGGAAGGGAAAAGACAGCTGCGAGTCTTTACAGACACACCTCGGATGTGCCACAGGTTCAGCTCCAGACCCCTCCCCGGTAACTACCCACCCAGCACAGTGAACCACGTGGATCTCCCGGGCCCCCGGAATGTCAACAGCATCGTACTAGGCTAATCTATTCTGTTGCCACACCATTATAAAAAAGCCTGAAGTGGTAAGGAGCTGCAACTACAATCCCAGAGGCACGCGGTTCGAAGCCACCAGATGCTCTGCCGGGGAAGGAGGGACAATCTCCTCCTGTACCAGTCAGATCTGATTTGACGGTACACTCACACAAAAATAATAAAATAAAATTAAAAAAAAATAAAAAAGACTGAAATATGTGGAGAATTACTGAAACATGACAGAGACACACGCTAGCCACATGCTGTTGGGGAAACGGCACCCCCAGCTTCCTCTGGGCAGGGACACTGCAACATTTCATTTGCAAAAAAAAACGTGAAGAAGCCTGTATATGATAAGGGTCTGTGTCTCTCTTTTTCTCTCTCTCTCTCGCCCAGGCAGTCGACTCAATGGTACCGAACAATAACATACAAAATATGTGGGAAAAACTCCACAACAAAGATAGATGAAGAATCTATTTCAAAAGTGAGCTGGTGGCCTAGTGACAAGAAGCTGCGCTGCAATCCCGAAGGCACGCGGTTCGAGGCCACCAGCTGCTCTGCAGAAGGATGGGCAAAATCTCCTCCCGTGTGATTAACTGCCTGTGAAAACCCACCGAAGGGTCAGCTATGGGTAGGTTCTGACTCTACAGTACTCTACAAAAGCACTTGCATTACATATTTCTTCCAGGAAGATATACAAATGACCAATAAAATATATTAAAAGAATCTCAACATCATCGATTCGATTTGATTCCTATGTGTACCATCAGGTGAAATCCATGTGTATAGCCTGCTTCTGTGTTTCTTATTTAAAGTTCTTACGTATTAAATTGCATCAATTTACTGAGTTAAATGTAAAGAACATGGGGAGCTCTGGTGGCCTAGTGGCAAGGAGCTGCAACTACAATCCCAGAGGCACACGGTTCGAATCCACCAGATTCTCTGCTGGGGAAGGAGGGACAATCTCCTCCTGTACCAGTCAGATCTGATTTGACGGTACACTCACACAAAAATAATAAAATAAAATTAAAAAAATTTAAAAAAATGTGAAGAACACCACAGATTTAAAAACAAGTACAGAGTGCCTGATTATATTTTTAATTCCGCAAATACCTAGCATCCCAAAGTAACATGTAAACAAATCCCTATGCTGCTCAAGGACTTCTTTCCAATCACTACAATAAACTAAATGGCATCAGTCCTAATAGATGACTTTTGTGTGTGTGTGTGTGTACTGTCAAATCAGATCTGACTGGTACAGGAGGATATTGCGCCTCCTTCTCCGGCAGAGCGTCTGGTGGATTCAAACCGTGTTCCTCTGGGATTGCAGTGCAGCTTCTTGCCACTAGGCTACCAGAGCTCCCCAATAGATGACTTTTTATGTAAGTTACGGTTTCATCCATTCTTTAACTATATTCCTGATGTAGCAAAGAGGGACAATTTTCATCTACTGAATTTATTTAAAACAAATTGACAGGTTCACGCTCCTGCCTTCAGAAAAGCCAGCAGTATTTCTTAATATACTTAGTGTTTGTGTTTCTTGTGTGTTTCTTACAAAAGGTATCTGCAATGAATAAATCTTTGAATGTGCAGAATTCTATCATTCTATCTCTAGTCTCATTTCTCTGAGTCCATGTTTTCCAGCTACTGATCCTTCTTCCCTGTTCCCAACTTTGGCATTCCAGTCACCCATTATTGTCAATGCATCTTGACTGCATGTTTGATCAATTTCTGATTGCAAAAGTTGGTAGAAATCTTCCATTTCCTCCTCTTTTGCTCTAGTTGTTGGTGCATATATTTGAATGATAGTGGTATTCACTGGACTTCCTCGTATATGTATGGACATTATCCTGTCGCTCACCACACTGTATTTCATGAGGGATCTAGAAATGACTTTTTTAATTATGAAACCAACCCCATTTTTTCCTCACTTTTTCATCCCTGGCATAGTAGATCATATGATCATCTGATTCAAAATGTCCCATGTCAAGCCATCTCATTTCACCAATACCTCGTATGTCAATATATATGTGTTCCATTTCATTCTTAACAATGTCCAATTTTCCTACCTTCATGCTTCTCACATGCCATGTTCCAATCACTAGTGTCTGCTTACAGCTGTTCCTCCTTTGTGTTTCTATTTCTAAGATCTCAGTTTTAAGGGAGCTCTGGTGGCCTAGTGGCAAGAAGCTGCACTGCAATCCCAGAGATATGTGGTTCGAATCCACCAGATGCTCTGCCGGAGAAGGAGGGGCCATCTCCTCCTGTACCAGTCAGATGCAATTTGACAGTACACACACAGAGAAAATAATAAAATAAAAATTTAAAAAAAAATCTCAGTCTTAATTGCCATGTCTGTGAGTCTGCCATGTCTGTTAGTCTAAGCGTGCTCTATTGTTCACAGGGTTTTTGAAGGCCTCTCATTTCAGAAGTGGATGGCAAATCCTTCATCAGTCATTAAAAAAAAAACCCTCAAGAAGCAAAAAACCCACAAAACTGCACCACCGCTGTGAAGCCCCACTCACAGCAACCCTCCACTGAGTTTCTGAGGGAGCTCCGGGGGTCTGGAGGCAAGAAGCTGTTCTGCAGGCAGTTTGGATCGACCAGCTGCTCCTGGGAAGAAAGACGGACAATCTCTGGCTCACTGTGTATGTTTTAGGTACGACAGCGCACAACCCCAGCACTGTGCTTCCGAGGCTGTAAATCATCGAGGGAGGAGACTCCCCACTTTCTCCTGTGGAGAAGCTGATGGCTCCCAAACACTGAGGGCGCATGACTCCCCGCGTCCCCAAGGCTCCTTCGTCAGCCACTCTCTCACTGCCATGGAGTCAGAACTGACCCGCACCTGACCCTCCTCGGGGTCGCACGGGAAGAGACCGTCATCTTTCTTCTGAGAAGCTGCTAGTGGATTCGAACCGCCAGAGGCTCAGCCTTTGGGTTTACGGCACAACTGCTGACTGGCCACAGGCCCCTTCTTGACTCACTGTCATCACTGTCTAGCTCTCTCAGTGCCGTCAAGGCGAAACCGACTCATGGCTGCCCTGCCGGCAGGCTTCCAGGTCTGTAAATCTCACCAGAGCACATGGCTTCTACTTCGCCCATCTGAGCAGCTGCTGGGCCAGAACCGGCTATCTGCCTCCGGGATGGCAGGGCGACTCTACCCGCCGGGCCACCAGAGCTCCCGCATTAGTCATCAGGGGATGGAAATGCCAGACAAGGCTGTGTGTCCACACGTGGGTGTTTGACGGTTCGCCACGTGACCAGAGCGGACCCTGCCCCGTGCACAAAACAACTCCTAAAGATAAATCCCCTGCCGATTCGGACTCACAGGAGCCTTTAAGGGCAGAGATGAACCGTCCACAGGGTTTCCAACCAGATCGCCCTACCAAGCGGTCCCCATAAGGACAGAGATGAACTGCCCCATAAGGTTTCCAAGATCGCCAGGCCTTTCCCCCATGGAGCCAGTTGGTGGGTTTGAACTGTCAACCTTTCAGTTAAACCCCAAACAGCTAAAAGATGCCACTTCACACCCGCTAGCAAAGCTATATGGTCAGAAAAAAAGAGAAGAGGGGCTGGCGAGGATGTCTTGAAGAAATGCAGCCACAGCGCCCCGCAGAAGCAGTGAGAAGGTATCAGTTCCTAAAGACAGACGTCATGCTTGGTAAGGCAGACGGTCATAGAAAATTAGGGGGACCGTCCATGAGATGGACTGACACAGTGACCCCCACAGTGGGCTCAAACACAGCACTGATATGAATGGGGCGGGACAGGGCAGGGTTTCACTCTGCTGAACACGGGGCCTCAGGAGGCAGCATCCGCTCAGATACCACGCAGAGTCTAGATTGATGAGTACAGGCTAGATTAACACAGTCACAAAGTACGGGGTCATCGGGCAACCTCTGAAGGGGACAGGAGAAGCAAAGGTCATTAGATGGTAGTAGGAAAAGATGGCAAGGGAGACAGATGGACAGAGATGGGGAGAAAGAGACCAGCAGGTGGACAGAGAAATGGACAAATGCAGATAGAGACAGATGACATAAGGAACAGATATTAACACACAAAGAGAGACAGGGACAAAAATAATGGGAAGGTGGGTGGAGAAACACAGTGTCTGTCCCCTGCCCAGAGTAGAGAGGAGCACATGCTCCCCCAGGCCTCCCCCCAACACCCTCCAGGCCCTCCCACCCTCTTCAGGCCGCCCCTCTCAGTCACACACCTCCACGAAGTTGTGGATGGCCTCCAGGTAGGCCAGGTTGTTGTCGTTGACATCCACGCAGATGCAGAAGTAGAGGCCAGCATAGCGTCGGTAGATGATCTTGAAGTTCCGGAACTGTTGGGGGAAAGACTGTCAGTGCCTGAGAACACCCAGGACCCAGCGGGCTGGACAGAGAGGGGCCAAAATAACTCCATCCGCCTGTCCCCACATGGTCCGGGGGGCCCAGGTCTGTGCCAGGCCGTGTGCTGAGGACACAGCGTGCACCAAGACAGCCCTGGCACTCTCCTCCAGACAGGGGTGACCTAGAGCCAGCAGGGCTGGGATGAGGGAGCCGAGGGTTCAGGGTGGGCTTCCTGGAGGAGGGGGAATCTGAATGGATGGAAAGAACAGGACTGTTTGTGCCAAAGCCCAGGGAGCCTGGTGTGTTCACAGGCATCCATCCGTGTGAGACCCTGTCATTCTCTTCTGAGTAGAATTCATTCTTTGAGTCCTTCTACAAACATTGTTTGAGCACCTACTGCATCCAAAGCCCCATGCTAGGCAGTTTAGGGGTCACTACTGAAATCAAGACTGCCTCTGGCCCTGCCCTCACTACGCAGCAACATTTATCAATGTAAGTGCAGTCATACACACACACACACACACACACACACACACACACACACA